ATTCTTACTATATTTTGTCTCTTTTTGAGTTATGTCACACCCTGGCCACTGAATAAAGAGTATGGAGTTGCTGTGGTGACAGATGAGACATGTGTGAAACTAAGGTTCAGCTTATTTCTTAGATAAACCTTCAGATTTTATCTTCAATTCATTTTGATGGGGTTATGCTCTATTAGAATAATTTTTGGCAACAGGCAGCACATAGCTGATACTTGGCAATGACAGTCTGTAAAGCAAAGAATATCATGTATACCATGTGCTGGAACTGCTGTAGAGATCATTAACATGTTCAAAGAGAAAGAAGAAAGTGAGGGCTGAAAAAAAACAAAAACAAATGGTCTGAAGAGAGCTGCATAGTCTGAGAAACAGCAGTGCATTGATACCAAAGTTACAGTCACTGAGATGAGATGTGCAGACATAAGCAAGGTTCTGAGAAAGTTAATTTCAGGTGCAAGACTTCATTTATCACTGAGATCTTATAAAGGCAAACACAATTTTCCTTCCAACTTTGTTCTGAAAATAATTTTCTTTTTAAAACAGGAAAAAATTTCTTTCTACTTATATTTAAACTGTTTTTTTCCAATGATTTTCTGGAAAATTAAATAATCTTTCCTCACTTTTAACACAGGGAGATTCTGGTGGACCTCTGGCTTGTGAGAATAACGAGATCTCTTACCTTTATGGAGTCATCAGCTGGGGAGATGGCTGTGGCAGAGTCAACAAGCCTGGAGTATATACAAAAGTAACAAACTATGTAAATTGGATTAATGAGAGAATGGCCCCTCGAAAAACTAGTTGAACTTTCAACTATGATATCATTTCAAGTAGAGTCCAGGAGCCTTTCGGTTTCATTAAAGTGGCATAAATATTTTATTATAAGCTAGTATGAAAATTATTGTGGTAATTCTTAGAAATTCCAAACCAGACCACTGAAAATAGTCCTCATCCTTCTGATATCAGTAACTCTGAGCTGCAGTTTTAGGGCTGTGGATAGCTCAACATGTGAGACTGTCTTTATTTGTCTTAATAAAACTAACATGTCAAGACTAAGTGTACCGACATCTACAACTGTTTATCTTTTGGTGGATTACATGAAAATAAGTATTTAAAAGTTTCTGGTGGAGTTGTCATCCCCTAAAACAGCCTGCAACAATGATGACCTTGTATTTTCACATGTTAACAAAATAAAAAGGATGAACACCAAAAAGAAAATTATCATTCCTTCAGAAGTGATTTCTTTAAAGTTCAGGCTGAAAGATGTCAGCAGAGTAATAGAGGATCCTCAGCTAACTACAGTAAACTACTTCTGGGAAGAAAACAGAGGATTTAGGGTTTGATTCAAAACATGTAAGCATATTTTTATGTTGTGATAAAAAATAGAAATGTGCTTGCTCTGCTGAATTTGGTGTGCAATTTTCCAGCAAAGTTAATCTAACACCTTCTGAAAGCACAAAGCTTATTGCTGAAAAAATGTTGAAGTTGGTAGATAATATTGTTCAACAGAGTAGGGCCTGTTGCAGACCCTCAGCTGCTCCTCACCCTGAGGATAGCAGTGCAAATATTTTACCTTGGATGGAAAATGTCCAAGCCTTTCTTAAATTTGGCAGTGTTTTGAAGATGACTGAGATTTTGTAATAACAAGTTATTTAACCGTTTAGATAATATAGAAAAAGGAGGGTTTTGTTTTATAATGCTGCCAGTGTCCCTGTGGATTTCTTAGTCGTGGTGAATGACACGGTCCTTTACCACATCCTTCTGTCTAAATTGGAGGGGTGTGGATTTGAAGGATGGACTGTTTAATGGATTAGGAACTGGCTGGCTGGTTGCAGCCAAAGGGCTGTGATCAATGGTTCTGTGTCAGACTGGAGGCCGGTCACAAGCGGTGTTGCTCAGGGGTTGGTCATGGGACCAGTGCTCTTCAACGTCTTCATCAATGACACAGATGATGGCATCGAGTGCACCCTCAGCAAGCTTACAGATGATACCAAGCTGAGCAGTGCAGTCAGTACACTGGAGGAAAGGAAAGCCATCCAGAGGGACCTGGACAGGCTGGAGAAGTTGGGCCCATGTGAAACTACTGAGGTTCAATAAGGCCAAGTGCTGGGTGCTGCACTTGGGTTGGGGCAACCCCAGGTGTTTATATAAACTGGTGGAAGATCTCCTTGAGATCAGCCATGTGGAGAAGGACTTGGGGGTCCTGGTGGATGAGAAGCTGGACATGAGCCAGCAGTGTGTGCTTGCAGCCTGGAAGGCCAACTGTGTTCTGGGCTGCATTACAAAAGGGTTGGCCAGCAGGACAGGGAGGTGATTGTCCCCCTTACTCAGCTCTTGTGAGGCCCCATCTGCAGTACTGCATCCAGGCCTGGGGCCCCCAGTACAGGAAGGACGTGGAGCTCTTGGAGTGGGTCCAGAGGAGGGCCACAAAGATAATCAGAGGGCTGGAGTACCTCCCCTACAAAGAAAGGTTGAGAGAACTGGGCTTGTTTAGCTTGGAGAAGAGAAGGCTCCAGGGAGACCTCATTGTGCCCTTCCAGTACTTGAAGGGAGCGTAAAAACAGGAGGGGGAACGGCTGCTTACAAGGGTGGATAGTGATAGGACAAGGGGGAATAATCTTAACTGAGACAGGGGAGGTTTAGGTTAGATATTAAGAGGATGGTGACGCACTGGAGCAGGTTGCCCAAGGAGGCTGTGGATGCCCATCCCTGGAGGCATTCAAAGCCAGGCTGGATGTGGCTCTGGGCAGCCTGGTCTGGTGGCTGGTGACCCTGCACATAGCAGGGGGTTGAAGCTCGATGATCATTGTGGTCCTTTTCAACTCAGGCCATTCTATGATTTTATGATCTCTACAGTTAAAATAAACTTTGTAAGGCAGAATAACCAAAATCTGAATTTTTGCAATTTCAAATAACAGTCCTCATCTAGATAAATGATATAAACTGCAATTCTGTGATTCTATAGTAAATAAAAACATTTACCTTCTGTCTCTTACTGCCTTGTGTATATAGTTACAACTATACCTTTGAATAGTTGTATAGGATTTTTATAAGTTGAGAGCTGGTAGAAAAAGAAATAATGCTTCTCTGTGCCAAGAAGCACCTCAGAAGCTCTGTACAAGAATCACTTTCAGCTGGTGGTCCTCCCAGTTTTATACAAGTGTCATGCAAAATTTCCCATAGACAGGTGTATGAGTGGGAAAAAAAAAACACCTGAGTCACAAAGCTTGGATAAGATTTTCAGTTGTAAATACTGTTAACACTAAGATGAAAGTCCCAAGTTCCTGATTCCAAAACAATCTGAAGACTATTATTGTCTTAGTTTGCTTTTCTGGCCATTTGCAGTATGAGTCTGGCTTGCTTAACGTTGTGAAATGAATGTGACTGTTTAACAAGACTAACTGTACCTACTGATGAAGGACAAGTACTAAATCAGCTTGAAGGAACTATTTACTTTTCTTTGGAAGTGATTCATTCGGAACAGATTCCAACACAAAGCTGTTTTGAACATCTATGTCTGCTCTGTGACTTTTTGTTTTCACTTTTAAATTGATATCCATCCACACTACTCAAGATTTTAATCTGGTAGTTCTGCGTTGTATGCATTCTCTATCTTCTCTTGCTATAAAGATGGTGGCTGTTCAGTAAGAAAGGTGATAGAATGGTGTTTTGAACAATTTGTGCAGAGATTTTTAACTCTCTTTTCAAAATGCATGCTGTTTTTCTAGAAGTATGTAGCAAAGCTAGTATAATCAGTAACTTATAATTCTTAAAAGCACATATAGACTGTTTCACCTGCAAACTTTCTATTTCCTGCACTTACTAGCTTAAATGAAAAATCTTCATTGAATTGTCATACTTGAATTCACTACATTGAATCTGTGGCTTTCAAAGTGGCTTCCTCTCCTCTCCTCTCCTCTCCTCTCCTCTCCTCTCCTCTCCTCTCCTCTCCTCTCTTTCTTTTTCCATGTTGATGTTGATGTCATGATCTGATGCTCTGCTGTGTTGAATAGCACTACATTAAATCCACAGTTCCAGACTGGGTTGGCAGGCAAACGCCCAAGGTTAGTAAAAGATCTATGCCTTAGCTCTCACACCTCTGAGAATGCTGGTCACATCCCTATGGGCAATCCAGCACCTCCTGTCTTTCTCTCAAGCATTTCCCAGTGGAAATGTTTCCCCCATTCTGCCCAGCTCTTTTTAAGTGCTCATCGTTTGTATTAAAATGAAAGAGTTAAAATTTACCAGGAAAGTTTCTTTGATGTTTTTCCCTAGCATTTAACTTGAAATAGGATTAGAATGCAAAACCAGTTGAACAAACGCCCCCAATTCATTACGACGCACACTTAAGGATGGTTTTATTAAATTACAGGTTATTCCATGCAAACTGACCGATTCAAAGAGAAGAAATAAAAGCAAACATCTAAAAAAACCCTTCTATTGTGCTATTGAAAGAAAAATGTGCTGTGCTGCTGTTGGGGGAAAAAAAAAAAAAAAAAGCTGAAGGACTAATTATCATCAAATAAGACGCAATAGGAGTATTTTTAGAATAATGGACTCTAATTAGTCCATTTCTCATTGAAATGAATTTAAAGACATAATTAACACATCCTATTCTATTAATTGTAGCAGCTTCGGTTAGGGGTAAGTGGGCTGTTATCTCATAGCAGTTGCATTGCAAAGGAAAAAAAAAGTGTTTTTATTAGAGGCGGGGTATGACTTTGAGAGCCAAGGGAAGGGCTAATCACACTTTGAGAGAGGAGTGGAGAAGGGAAGGATCCAGGGAGGCCTTGCTGTTGTCTTCCAGTACTTGAAGGGACTTCATAAACAGGAGGGAAACGGAGTTTTTACATGGTTTGACAGCGACAGGACGAGGGAGGGTGGCTTTAAACTAAAAGATGGGAAATCACTGTGCCCTCATTGTGGAAGAATGAGGAATAGGAAGAAATTCTTTACTCAGAGGGCAGTGGGGTCCGGCACAGGCTGCCAGAGAGCTGCGGGCACCCCATTCCTGGAGGTGCTTAAGGCGCGGTTCGGTGGGCTCTGGGCAGCCTGAGCTGGTGGGGGGCACGCAGCCCACGGCAGGGGATGGGCACGGATGGGCTTTAAGACCCTTCCAAGTCAGACCATCGCGTGGCTCCATGAATTCCGGCCGCGGGGCAGCGGTGATCCGCTCCGGGCTTTCCCTCCGGCCCCAGGCACGGGAGGAACCCGGCCGCCTGCAAAGCTCGGCGCCTCCAGGGGTCGCGGCCGGAGCAGGTCGGCGGAGGCGGCAGTCGTCGGGCTGTGGGTGCTGCGCTTCGCACCTGCCCGGACTTAAACCCCGAGGAAGCGATAAAATAAAAACAAGCACCAACTTTACAAAGCAATAAAATACACTAATACAGAAACAGCGGGGGGCTTTCTAAGACCCCCCTCAGCCAGAGCCGGCCCGGCCCCTGCACGGCGGGGCGGGGGGCGCCGGGGAGGGCCGGGCAGCGCTGGCCGCTCGCCCGCCGCGCTCGCTGTGCCTCAGCGGGGACCTACAAAGCTATTTTGAAAGTGACCCCTCGGCCAGAGCGCGGGGAGGGAGCAGCGAGCCGGGCGCAGCTGTCCGGAATCATGACTGAAGATGACGGATTCCGTGGTGGTGGAGGGTCACGTCAAGTTGAGAGATGGAAAAAAGGTCCGAGCTAGCCTGTGCCCTTTCGCTTCGGCCACGCGGCAGGCACGGGCCGGGGGTCTCCGACTGACGCCCCCCCCTCACGAGGGGAATAGAGCCCTGTCTGCCCGGCCCTGGCTAACCCTGTCCTTTTGCCTCTCGTTGCAGTGGAAGAGTAGGTGGCTGGTGCTGCGCAAGCCCTCCCCGGTGGCAGGTAAGAGCGGAGCGGGGCGGAGGGGACCCCGCGCCTGGGAGTTTGTGGGGGGGGGGGGGAGGGAAGGAGGGGAGACCGGCGGCCGCGGGGCCTCTCCTCCGCCTGCCGGAGGGTGCGGGGCACGGGGAAAGGGAGAAAAGCTCTTTACGGGGCACCCCGTCCGGTGCGCTGCTGCAGGGGGAGACCCTTCGGCCGGAGGTTTCCATGAGCCGTCGTTGCTCTTTCTTTCTTTAAAATAAATAATAATAAATGTATATACATATATATATTTATTTTCTTATTGGGCTCAGCTGGCGGAGAGCCAGGCGGCCAGAAATAGAAAGAGGATATCGAAGGAGACCCGTAACGAACGCCGAGAGTTTGGTTCCCGTTTAAAACGCTTGCTTTAGAAATTACTTATTCGGGGTGATTGGTGGCTGTGAAAGGCTGCCATTGTGAGTTGTGCGGTTATTTTTGTTCTGTGTTTTGACATAAAGCGTTTCGATTTAAAAATAAGATGTCATCTTGAATTAAAAACTTCAGTTCCACGGTTTGCAAGGGAGAACTGAAAATGTTATGAAGAGTTGATGTTTTAATGTTGGAGAGGGAAAAGTAGGCTTCATGTTTCCCAATCTTTTTTTTTTTTTTTTAATGGGAAAACCATTTGGCCTCAGAAGTATTTATTTCCAGAGTGAATTGTTGCTTATTGTCCAAACATGGATCTGCATTGCTTCTGAAACCATTACAGAGCCCTTTTTAGATGATAGAGCGAATGTTTCTAGCTTTTTAGACCAACTCTTTGGTTCTCAGTTGTTACAGTTAAATGTTGGTGTTTTAGTCACTGCATTTGTTAAACTTCTCTCCATGAATGGGCAACTCTAGATTGTAAAAGTCAACATCCAGACATGCCAGCATGGGCCTGGATTTGTAACCAGACGTAAAGGGGAAAGATGGGGGAGTTCTAAAAGAAAACTTACTGATGATGTTATTCCTCAAAAATGCTGTTTTCATTCTATCAAAGTTAGTCAAATCTACCAGAAACTCCCCTCCCCCAAGATTTGCTTCACTTGGTCTGTATGCCATAGCAGTTCTTTCTTCAGATACACAACTGCACAGCAGAATGCAGAAGTATCATAGTGGCAGCTGTTTTTGCTAACAGGTGCAAGAAAACAATTGGGAGGGTATGTAAAGCGTTGGCTAGCAGGCATTGGGTCTTTCAGTCATTTTTCACCTCTTTGGAGCTTTGCCAGGCTGTTGCCCAGCTGAGTGCTGCAGGGCACCTTGCCAGGGCTGAAGCACCACACCCCAACATTCATGAAATGGTGCACAGGGGCTTCCTCCTGGTGGCACGCAGGTCAGCTGCAGCTGCGGATGTTGCAGCTTTGCTGTGTATCATTAATTCAGGTTATAACCCAGTGCTGTGCGATAGGGAGGGAATCCGGGTGAAAATGAATGCTTTTGTTATTATATGCTGAAGGTGGAAAAGGGATGCTCCCTTTGTTTTTTTGTTTGAAATGTGCTTTTCCTAGGGCGCTGTGATGCTTGAGTTACGTTCTTCCATTGCTTATTTACTTTATAGTAAACATGCCCAGGAAAGGACTAAAAACAAATGGTGACGTGTTTAAAAAATAATGATAATAAATAGAGGTGTGGCACATAATGATTATTGAGCATGGCTACTGTGTAACATTTCACTAGGAAACCTGAGCTGGCACAATGTCTGGCAGTGCAGGCAGTCTGCTCGCCATTTAGTAGTTGAGTAATCTGTGAACTACTGTAAGAATTTCGTTTGTGGTTCAGTATGTTCTCATGGAAATAAAGATGACAATAGCCTCTTGGTCCTTAGCACTTGTAATGTGGGTCCAGCTATCGTACTCCAGCTTCTAATGCTCAAAATTAATGAGTCAGTTCGTTCTAAACTGGGGAGACAATACAAAAAATCACTGTGTTTCTGCAAAGTAATTGGGAAGACGTTTTTTTGCCTTTGTATTTCTGATCCCACAGATGACTGTTGAAACATGTCTGCTTTCTGAACATGGGCTGCAGCCTACCTGGTTGGGTGGGGGAAGGAGGCTGCATTCTAGTATTGGCTCGATCAGACTGACCCTGCAGTTGTCTGAAGCACTCTTCTTAGTACTTTGCTTTGGTACAAACGTGTTGTGTTCTGTTCTGCCTCATCATCTCTGACAGTTTTGCTTCTTTTAGACTGTTTGCTCATGCTGGTGTACAAGGATAAATCTGAACGAGCGAAAGGGCACAAGGAGAGAAGCAGCGTGACCTTAGAAGACATCTGTGGCTTGGATCCTGGGCTCTCCTATGAGGGCTTGAATCACACCCTTGCAATCATCTGTCTTTCTCAAGTTGTGATGCTAGGATTTGAGAACAAGGAAACAATGTATGCGTGGGATGTACGAATCCGCTACAGTTTGGGGGAAGGTAACCTTTGTCTTCTCATACTCCCTTTTTTTCCAATTTATTTTTCCTTGACAGGAAAAAAATGAAAGAAAGCTGTAACTAAAATGCAAATTAAAAAGTATAGTTAGGGAAAAGGCTCTCTCATATGAATGAAGAGGCTACTCTTCCCCTATGTCTTAAAGCAGCTGTCCCTTCTGGTAGGCTGTGATTACGGTGTAGCCTGACACTGGTCACTAACAAAGAAAGCTCTCAACTTCATTTTTGACTTAACCACTGAAAGTGTGTAGCTATGAAGCAAAGTGATCAGAGTTCTTCTGGTAATGCAATTTACTTGGGGATTTGGATGACAGGATTCAGAAAGAGCTTGAATTAAGAGAAGTAGATCCCAGGTTAGAAGTTGGCTTGTTTGATCCCAATTTTATGAGCTGTATATTACCAGGTGTTGCCCTTGATAATTCACATTGTTGCTGATGCCCCCTTTCAGGAAGAGACATCTCTCAATAACATATAACAGTAGATAAAGTCTTTCCAGCTACCTATTCATGCACCTGATTTTTTTTCTTGGTTAGCAAAGTATATAGTGGTGAAGAAGGAGGTGATAATGTTGAAAATCCAAAGTAGCTTTTATGTCTGTTTAGTTATAACTGGGGATGGAGGGTAGGTGTGTGGAAGACACATTAGCTATCGTAATCATTTGTTACATATGCTTTGCCATCTGTTGTAACTTTGGACTCATCATTTTTCAGTATATACGTGCAAAGATGGTCTGAGAATTTTACACTAATGAAATGTAGCAATACAGAAATGGAGACACAGATTTATTACTTGGAGCTATCAGCCTTGCGCAAGGGCAAAGGTTAGAGGGGATCCCTGAACAACATAGGCAGATGTAGAGGGAGTAGTGAGTACACTCTGACAGCGTGGCTGTTTTGTGTTCCACTTCTGTTTCTTTACTAGTATTGGGATCTCTTTACAGCATAGATATGTCCTTTAGGACAAATTAGGACAAATGTAAGACAGCTGGAGGAGAATTTGAATTTGACAGAGTTGGTCTGATTTTCATGATCTTGCATTGATTCAGTGCTGGGATAAAGAGAGTGTTTGGTCTTCATCCGAATGTGAGAGTTATGATTGTGGTAGGAGGAAATTCAAAGGAAATGAGGAATTTATTAAAGCTATGAATAAGGTAGGAATAGAGTCTATGAGATGAAGGTAGCTCTGGATCAGAGACAGATGAGGGGAGTGTGCAGGTGGAAGTGAAGAAATGAAGTGTCAGGTAACAATAAAATCTAGCCCGAGTAGATAGAAAGAAAAAAGAGGAGGCTACTATATAAACAGGAGTTGGTGACTGTTTGGTGTTTCTTTCTTAAAGACCAGAAAGGATGCCTTTGTGTGCATTGGAAGTAACATGGCTGGTGCTGAAAATAGGCTGTGGGCAAATGACCTCAGAGTCTGGGAAGCAGGAAGGAAAAAAAAAAAAGAGTGAAACAAGTTGATGCTGTTGAGCGAGGACCACAGAATGGAAGGAGTTCACTGGGGTTCCCAGTGTTTTCTTTCTGTTTTTGGAGGTCAGGTGAGTGTGATTCCTAGGGCAGCTCAAGGGAATAAACCATTCAGGATTAGAGAATTAGAGAAAGCAGTGGAATTAAGTGAGTGAGGTGTAGGCCATTTGTGAGAAGAGTGTGCTCAAGTCCACAGCTCATTCTGAGGAAGTTAGCATAGTGCAGGTCAGTGAGTAGCTGTGAAGAGAAAAAGAATACCTAAAGGAAATAAAAACCTTAGCAATATTTCTTGCTTGTGGTTGTATTCAGCTAAGTATCTTATTGTTGATTATTTTGTTTCCATTTTTTTGCCTTTTATTTATTTCTCCCCCCTCCCAGTCAGAACAGTAGATGCATGGGGAGAATTTTAGAAGTCACACAAATTACCAGGAAAGGATAATATAGCAAAACCTTCATGTCCAGACCTGAATTTGCCTCTGTTTTGGTTTTGTATGCTGTTTCCTAATAGCGTTCTGGAATCTGAGCTGCAACTCTTAGATTTTGGCAGCTATGGTAACTTGTAACCTCTTGTATTACAGTGGTTTTTTTTTCTCCATTTGTGAGACAGAAAGGATGCTGATGTTTCTGCTTTTTATAGTTTAACTGATGTCAAAGTACCTCTGAAGTTAACTGTGCAGAGTTGTCCAAATGATATGAAATCTTGCTTACTGAATATTATTCAGTAGGGTGGTTTTGCTATCTCTTTCATATTTTACATTATTGTTAGGTTGTGTAAAGTAATTGAATTAAAGGGATCATTATGTGTCTCTTGACTTGCTCCCTAGCAGTACTACTGTAAGTAGAGCTGTGATTGCTTAAAGATCTATCTCTGGCTCCTTACACATCTCACTCAAATGACTTTGTGGCTAATTCTGCTGAAGCCTTAGGAAACTTTGCAAATGTACGTCATAGGTGAGGAGCTGACTTACAGCTAAGATGGTAACTAATATAGCAACTGTTTAAACAAGAAACAAGGCTCAGACTTGTTGAAATTAATGAAGCTTGAAGGAGCATAGGCAAGAGGAAGTGAAGAATAATTATAAAAAATGAGAGGACCTGGAAGTTACTCTGGAGATATCATAGGCAGGAAGCTGTTTGAATGATATTAAATGGATAACAAAAAATGTAAATTTACGTTTCCTGATAAATGCTTCCTTGAAGATCCATCTGAAAATGTGACAGTCCTTATGCTTCTCTGTGCCAGGACAGATTTGTGTGTGTGTATCTGGTTGCAAGAACTTCATAAACATGAATGAGAGAGGTGTCTTTCCTTTTCTGGAGTTTAGACTGAGAAATATAAATTGTTAACTGACATTTAAAGAATGTACATTACCAATGAATCACTAATTTCCAATTCAATTTACATACCGGGGCATCCAGCGTCATCAGCTCAGAAAAGAGTCACAAAGGTGGGAAAATGTAATTTTCCTCATTTTACTGTTAGGGAAGGCAATGTGTGGAAGGAAGTGAAGCAGATTATTAAAGGCTGTAAATGAGTCAGTGACAGACCTCTTGTTAGAACTTGCCTATTTCTTTGAGCCTTGACTTCTGGGCTTGTTGGGCACTGTGTTGCATGCAATTCAGAAAGGCTGGGCAAAGGCTATTTGGAGGAGGACACAGAAAGAAATCCCTGTGTTGATGCAAGGATGGAAGGAGGCTGGATAACTGACTAATTTGATATGGGGTTTGTTCTGTAGGAGTTTGGATAGATTAATGTAGCATTAAGTTGTAGCATTACAACCTAATAACTTGAAACATTAGCTACTCACGTGGGGCTGCCTAGGCTCTACCTAGAATCCCTATCCTAGCCTTGTGATGTGGGTAGGGGTCAGTCTACACACCACAGCTGTGCAGAATGACTTATGTAAGTTACGGTACATTACTCATGCTTTCTACAGTAATGCTTTTTTTTCTTCCTTATTTGATAGTTCATAGATTTCAAGTTTTTGTAGCACCTGGCACTAAACTAGAGAGCGGGCCTGCTACGCTGCATTTCTGCAATGACATCCTCGTCCTCGCAAAAGACCTTCCTCCTAGTGTTATGGGGCAATGGAAACTCTCAGATCTGCGTCGATATGGAGCTGTCCCAAATGGATTCATCTTTGAAGGGGGGACAAGGTGTGGCTTCTGTAAGTACAAATAGAACCTTGTCTTCTAAAAGTTGTTTGAACCTGTTTGTGGAAATGTAAATTTTGTTGTTTGGGGTTTTTTGTTTTTTAATCAATGTGGAGGTTCTGGAAACAGCTATGCAGCTTTGTCATACACTCAGCTTCACATCAGTTGTTCTATTCTGCAGAGTAAGTTTCTGCTTGCTTCAACCCTCGTGTTCAGTAAAAATGTGGAGCTATGGCTGAATGTTGCCATGTTGCTCTCCAGAAGATGCTCAGTTAGTTGTTGGTTTGTGGACTCAGAGCAAGAATAAGGTAATGAAAATTAAGGCCTGTGTCATGTAAGAGATGAAGCAACGTGGTTTAATGTTCAGATTATTAAATTATGATTATTTCTGTTGTCTGCAGAAGGAAATTGATAGTGAAGTAGAAGCAGGGCTCTCACTGTGTAAATGCTGCTAAATCCAATAGAGAGGACTTCTTACTTCTAGGAACTTCTAGATTTGTCATGCTGTAGTACCACAGGTTTCATGAGGCCAAAATGAAAGAAAGCAAGCTCAAGCTAGTTTTTGTAGCCTAGAAGCTAAGGTACTTTTAAGCTACTAAGGCAGTATCTCTTGCACTGATGTCATGCTTATGACTTTTCATGTTATCACTTTAAAACTACATGAGAGCTGAAAAGGTGATTAATGCAATCGTATACATCAATTGAAAGCACTGAATTTTAACTTCAGTAGCAGAATTTGCTGCATTTGACAGAGTGGAAATGGATGTGTTTACTGCCAAATTGGATAGCAAGTTGTGTGACGTTTGCATGCTGAAATGTGAAGACAATTGTTTTCTTCAGTTACCTGAGGTTAAAAAAAAAAAAAAGAAAAGGTTTCAAAGTTGGTTGAAATCCAAAAAATATTATTCCTTTGGAATTCTAATGAAATTTTGAGAGGAAGAGAAAATCAATTGTTTTGACTGTTTTACTGTTGACTGTTTTATAATGAGAGTTTATTGGTTTGTCTGTTGAAAAGTACAGAGCTGAGTTATAAAGCTGGTAAGTATGGACTTGACATTCATACCCTCATTTCTGAATTAGGGCACTGGATTGCACTGCAGAACATTCTAGTTCAGGTCCTTCACTGTTTAATTTAGATGTTGGAGTTAAAGAGGTGTCTTCATTGTCTGAAGGAATGTGTTACAGGTATAGTCTGTAAGAAAACAAATGCTTGTAGTTAAGATTATTGTGTTTTGGTTAAGAAGTTGTGTGAGGCCTAGAACAGGAGTCTTGTTTCTTAGTAGTATAGTTCAGAATGTCAGCTAGATAACTTGTTATAAAATATTGTATTTTTGTATTTAAATGCGTGCAATTCTGTGCAGATGTAATTTGAATCCACTTTTTGGATTCTTAACTGAAAATAGAAATCTTTATGCATTCAGAATGCTTTCAGAAAGAAACTTTCCTCACTTATAAGTGTGGTGTTCTTTGTGTATCTTTGTGTACTTTGGAGTATCTGTAGATTTCAAATATGTATTTTATGCAGACATACATTAGTGTATGGAAGGAAATAACATTAATGACTATTCACAAGCAGAAATGAGTAGCAGAAAATAGTGATGGATGTTAGGTCATGTGTTCTCCTTTATATAAAAAAAAAAGCAAACAGCTAAACAAAAACCCCACAACAGTTGACCTTTTCTCTTTCATGCTTTTTTTCAGTGACTGTTCAGCACTGAGTGACAGAGTTTTTAGCACATATTGCCTCAGAGTGTGCACAGGGTAAGGCTGGGTTTCTGAACACATCAGGGATGAGGGATAAGTAAGGAGATGTCTCTAGTATTCTGAAATTTATTCCTCTTAAAGATTCCTTGAGGATGTCAGTATCACTGATACTCCCTTAGCAACCTGCATGTGAGGTGTGTTGGAGGAGAGTAACAAGAAATTTGGTGGCTGAGCCATCAAAACAAGAAATTTGGTGGCTGGGTTCTTGTCTGCTTGGAGGTGTCTTTACCACAGCTTCCTACAAAGTCCTGTAGAGCCTTGCTTTGAGGTGTGCAATACGTGCTCTTCCTTTGTTCATCTTACCCAGGTCTTGTGTTTGTCCACTTTACATTTGCTATCAGATGGTTGCGTGCATCCAGAAATGCAAGTCTAGCACTTCTACATACTGTTTTGAGACTGCCTGAATTCTGAGTATTCAGCAATAAGGCACTTTAAGGTACTGGCATAAAGATTAAAGGTATGTTTTAATAGGATCTAGATCAGCCCTAAGTTAGTGGGTATTTTTTCTCTTCCTTGGTTTTCTTATGAAATGGGGTAGATCTCTGTTATTGACTATGTACTATTTGTTATGATCTGTATATATAGTTGGAACTGAAAGTATTCAATTACTATTGTATCACCCTACAGTTCTATGCATTGCTTATGCATCTTTAACAACGTAACATGTTTTCTTAGCTGGAAGCAGAGCAGTGAATAATACAAGCTAGTTTTAGTAGTATTCAAGATGTACAGTGGCTTGTATGTGAATGTTGGTCACCTTCTGTTTGTACATTTCATTTTCATTACAGTATCTAGGGAATGTCCTATTATTCTTACTGAATTTTTTTAAAAATACACATAATACACATATTAAAGCATTACTAATATAATAGAAACTTATGTTCACTTTTAACTGATCTGAAAGAGTATTCTGTGCTTCAGCACATAAAGCATCATCAGCTCACAGAAATCCTTGAGTTTTGAAAGCTGTCTAGTTATTTAGATTAATATTTGTCGTTCTTTAGCTGTGTTAGTTTTTCCTTAGCTCTTTGATAACACAGATGAAAACATTGCAATTTATCGTGGAAAAATCAACACTTTAGTACAGAGAAATTGCTGTAGCCATTCTGTGTTATTGAAGTGTGGATGATACACTGCTAGTCTGTTCTGCAGCATTATAGTGCTGATTATGGAGCTTCTATGCTGCAGTCTGAAAGTAATGAATGAGTTCGGAAAGAAACTAAGCTTAGATCTAACAGTATCTCAAAATGTTTGAGTTGGGAAACAACTTCTGGAGGTTACCTTGTTCCAGCCCACTACTCAGAGTGAGGTTTGCTGCTGCAGTTTGCCCAGGATCACATTCAATCAGGTTTTGAACATCTCTATGGATGATTACTTCATAACTTCTATGAGCAACTTTTTCCTGTAGTTTCGTATCAGCTGCTACTCCCAGTTTTCTACTTTCTGCAAACTTGCTGAAGGTGTTCTCTGTGCCACAATCTGGGTGAATGAGGATGTTAAACATCACTGGCCCAAAATTTTGCTTCACCATACACAAGTAGTAGTTGGCTGGACTTTGTGCTACTGATAATAACCTTTTCAGCCTGGCAGTTTAGCCGGTTTTCAGTCCACTTTATTGTCCACTTGTTTAGTCTGCACTTGATCACTTTGTCAGTGGATATTTTATAGGAGATGGTGTTGAAAGCCCTCCTGGAGTTAAAACCAAAAGACATCTATTGCTTCATCCACCAAGCTAGTCATTTTATTAGAGAATATCAGTTTGCTTAGGCATTGCTTCCTTTTTGTAAATTCCATGCTGATTATTCCCAGTAATCATCTTGTCCTTGGTGCATTTGGAAATGCTTTCTGGGATTATTTGTGCTATCACCTCCCCTGGCCTGTTGTTCCCTTGTCCTTCTTGAAGATCTATTTGCTTTTGTTACTTTTTTTTTTTTTAATTGTTGTAAAATAAGGCCCATCAAGAGTGACCTTGCAATGACATTGACCAACTCCTTCACCACCTGTCTAAATATTCCTCAACCCACTCCTATCCACCCAGGGAAAGTCTTCCTCATTCCAGATTCCCCACTGGTTTCAAGGGTCTGTGATTACTGACAGGGGAGTTGAATCTTATCAGTAAAGAGCAAAATGGAGAAGACTTTGAGTGTTTAAAACTTCTGCATGTCCTTTGACACCAGGTCCACCACCCTTTCAGCAGTAGGCTGAAGTTTTCTCTTGTTTTCCTTGTTTTGCTGATACACTTGCAGAAGCCCTTCTTGTTGCTCTTCACCCCAGATTCAACTCCTGCTAGAGACTGGCTTTCCTAGCCCTATTCCTGTGTGCTTGGACACAGTGTGTCTGTATTTCTCCTGCATCATCTCGGTCACCCTAGTTCTACTACCTTTATGCTTCCTCTTTATATTTGAATTTTACATGGAGTTCTGTGTAGGCTTTCCTGCCACCTCTGCTTGGCTTGAAATTGCAGGAGGTGATCCTTGAAAATGAGCCAGTTCTCCTGGATCTGTCTTCTCTCCAGGACCAGATACCCTGGGATGCTTCCAAGTAGTTTCCTGAACAGGCCAAAGTATGCTCCTGCAGACTGATTCTGGGAAGTAGGAGTGAAGGTGTTCTGGGTCTGTAGGTAAGCATTCAAAAAACAAAGCCAAAACTGGAATCTTTTTTTCTGAGTTGCCTAGCTCTGACACTCTGAAACATCACTAGAAAAGATGACATGGTAGCTTTGTTGCTCTGTATGTTTCTTCTGGTCGTCATACTGTTATGAGTGTGGGAAACATTTTCCTAGCCTCCTTCACCATTCCGGGCTTTAAAGCTTTTTTTGCTTCCTACTGAGAAGTGCTTGTTGACAGCAGAAAGAAAGTAATGGGCTATAAACATAGCCTTCCATTTAAGTTCTTTAGTTAAGTTGTTGCAGATCCTGTGTGACTTGTTCTAGATTTGATGCAATTTCTATATTCTGAGAATTTCAATCAATTGTTGCTTGTATCTTAATTCTTCATTGCATGAAACCAAAATGGTCTACTTCGTAGGCCAGGATGCCAGTTGTGTAAAGAATGTGTGATATGAAATGTGAATGAATGATACAAATGGGAAGCTGTAGTTGATAGATTTGCTGTGGGACTTTGAAGTATTTGAATTACTTATGTTATGCTGAAGTTCTTCCCTCGGGTGCCCTTTCACCTTTCAGCTTATCCTAATTTCTGGGTGCTGCTTCTAGCTGGTGGTGTATTCTGTAGTTTTCCACAGTACTGTAAATCAAGAGTATTCCCCAGCAATATGTGTCAAAGTGATAAAGATGAAAAAATGAGATGTTTTCTTTCAAGGGAAACACTTCAGATTTCAGGAAGATATTCTGCATTTTTTGGTATACCACTGATTAAAGTGGTGTTTGAAGTTGTGGTGAGGCATACAGAAATAAAGAATCTGATTTGAGTGTCTGTCAACAGTGAATACTGATGTTGTCATGACTCCAGTCCGTTAAAAAGGATCCAAATGTATATTAGGCTAGCGTGGGGGTCTTGAGTCTTGTAGACCCTTTCATGTCTATGATCCTTTAAAATGCTTTTACGAGGTTACCAAACTTAACTTTTTGCTCTTATATCTGAGGTTGTTATTCTGGCATTGTTCTTTAGAATAATGTTCTCTCTCTCTCCCTTATGCTTACCTCCTCAGTTACCTACAGAACCTTTATTTATGTGCTCAGTCTCTTTTGCTAGGCTAAACAAGCCCATCTGTCTTGTCTTCCCTGTAAGAGCTCAGCAGTTGCTCATTTGTGTACCTGGTTTTCAATATGCATTAATCTTTTCTTTGGCTGCAGGCGACCAGAATTAGAAAGTATTTTGGAACGAGTCCCACTGTATTTTTCTGCATTATATTACTGTTTCTTTCTTTCTTAAGAGATGTTTCTCGATACATGGGAGAGCTGAGAAACTTCAGTTGCCATAGACTGCTGTTTTTTTGCTTCCTATCATCTGCATGTGTGCATTCAAAGGGACAAACAGTATATTCCTTTTGGTCTGCCATTGTTGAAAACTCTCTTCATACTGAGTTCAAGCAATATCTCTCACCAAGTCTCTCACCCTGTGAAGAGAGAGAGAGCTCTTCAGTCTAGTAAACAGCTGCATGGTATTACAGTATAACACATACTCCTGGGCTACCAAATGCCTGTGCACCAAATCTGTTCCAGCACATGACTGAGATGTGCGATTTCTAATTGTGAATTTATCATCTTTCTCAAGAAAGCAAAAAAGAAATGCAATTGCTGGCTTTATGTATGTTCTTCAAACATAACTCAGTTGAAGCTCAGTATTCATTCATCTCTTCCGTTGTATTTTTTTTTAAGGACTCCTAAACTTCTTTCATCCTTTGCGTTCTAGTTCTGTCTAACAAAACAAGAAAGAAAACATTTCCCATAATGCTGACCAGCGTTTATGGTGATTGTGTGAATAACAGAATCTACAAAGAAATATTTGATGGGAATGCATGTATGTTGGGTTTGTACTCATGGGCACACATCCATAAGCTGTTTTCATAAATTATATAAAAGCTTTCATGTTTGTTTTTTGGATTTCCGAATGTGGAATAATTTTTCACATACATTATGTTTTGAGTAAATTAGCCAAGTTGTGTGGAAGTAAATTTCAGGAAATGTTTACTTTTTTGTTTCCATTGAAGTCACAGGCTAGTAGAGACAAAAATTGAAGTAAGCCATTTCTTTGCAACAGTAATGAAGAGCACGTGGTCCAGATGCAACCTTTACGTACAGAGATGTTGGAGGTATCTTCTTTTCCTGAATGGTAACGTGGATGTGCAGGCTTCTGCTGAATTACCAGGCTGTAGTCTATGCCTGAGATATGAATGTTCTCTGTCTCCATATCTTGATTGCTTATTGTTCATGGAATGAGAAGGTCGTGTTCAGAACCCTGCAGAGCTTTGTGCTGCCCTGCTTCCTCAAGAAAGGCACGTCCTTTGCCCTCAGTGTGATTCACAGGGGAAGAGTCACAGCCTCTAAACATCAGGGGAACCATTCTGTACTGAGTGGGGGAAGGAGAAAATAGCTGAGAGAGAGAGAGCTGAATTTCAAATACCTTCTGAATGCAAATTTTGCACCCAACTTCTTTTAATACAGTTCTCTGACTCTTTGGCATCTCTTGGAGAGGGAAATGTGACAAGACTGTATATGAGTCAGTACCTGAAGCTTTCATACCTGTCAGATTTCATGATTACTGTTGTAATCTCCTAGTTGATTTTTGATACTGAAGCCATTGCATGTGTATTTGTTGTGAGAAAATGTGGGATACTGTTGATCAGTTAGATCTGAAGAGGAACAAAAGTGATGGTGTGACGAATAAAATTAGGAGACGGTTCAAACAGCGTAGTCTGGAACGGATTTAAATGGAGCAGGGAGGGACTTCAGTTTTACATAAACTGAGAGTGACAGAAGAGCATGGAGCAGAATGTGCTTTCTCTTGAAGCAATCAGCTTACCCCTTGCCAGCTGTATCTAATTTTCTAAAATAATTAATTTGATGTGTGATCTACCTCACCCCCTCATCCCCCTTTGTTTGAATCCAGTAGCCCTTTGTCAAGCAGATCCTTTGCTTGAGTGAAATGTGGAAAACCTATTGGATAAGACTTATGTATATGTGGGATATGATAGGGCATTCTGGTCAAGATCAGTGCTGCTGCTTTAACTAAAATTGACAGAAGTAGCCATTTAACTCATAATAAGCTAGAGAAGTGAGCAGAAGTCAAATTTATGTCCACTACAGGCTCTTAGGAAAGCTGCATATAAAACTCTATTGATGTGGTGGTCTGGTTTTGTAGTGTACTTGGCTCTGGTGAACTGACAGCATTTCTTAAAAGCTCTATATACTAATCTCACTGGTTACTTGGGATGGAGGGTATTTTGCCTGATGCCTTCAGTTCATTGAAAAGGCCAACTGTGCTGCTTTTCAGTTGCGAGTAGGACTGGGGGTGAAAATTCTCAAATCAAATGTTACATGGAACGTCTTTAGTTTTGTGTGTTGTCCCCATAGCTGTGTATCATGTGGCTCAGAACTTGTTTGTTTATTTAGTGATTCTCATACTAATTTTGCTGGGGGCTATTCTTAATGAATGGAAAGCAAAATATCAGAATAGAGCTAAGGGTAAAGATCTGATGACAGCCTGTGGAGTCGTGTTACATTCTGTTTAATAATAGGTACATTGGGCTTAGTCTAGGCTGTTTAAATAAGTGGGAAAATTTATATTATAATCTATCAATATAACCAAACCCTGACCACTATTGGGGGTATAAAAGGCTGTTCTTTGATAAAGTTTGGTAAAAGCAGAATTAACCTGGGTCATTTCAATGAAGACACTTTCAGTAACCATGGCACTTGCATAGCTAAGATTAAGTCTACAAAATTCTAGGGGTAAATGAGAATAAAAGACACAGACAGCTGCTAAGCATATGGCTTGCATTTTGGCATTGCTCTAACTGTCTGAGTTGCAGAAAATTATCATAAATTATTAGTTATCTATTGAATTTGTATATTTTCCTGACTCAGTGTATATGCTGAACTCTTTTTTTCCCTCTGTAGAGTATGTTTCATCCATTTCTTTTCATGACTTGCACTGTATACAGTTTTGATTGCTACATAGCAAATGGCTTCAACTAAATGTATTTCTAATGTATCCAGGTGAAAAACACACGTCTGTTCTTTCTTGCAGGGGCTGGTGTTTTCTTCCTCTCTTGTGCTGAAGGAGAGCAGATCAGCTTTCTGTTTGACTGTATCGTCCGCGGCATCTCCCCGACGAAAGGCCCTTTTGGTTTGCGTCCAGTGCTACCAGGTTAATATGGGAACTGCAGAGTGACTGAGCAAAGTAGGAACTTGCTGTGTCTAGCACTTATTGCTCTGATTGTAAGAACAGCTTGCAGACACTAAGAGTGCAGAAAGTGCGAAGCGGTTTCCATTCTAAAAATGTTGACAGTACAGATTTATCCACTGAATGTACCCAGTTTCACCCTGCTGCTCTGGCTCGTTCTGGTGATATTGCTATATTTGGCCTTCTCTTGTTTAATGGTACTAAAATATGGCAATTGTAAACTTGCACAGTGCAACTTAGATCGATGTCTAAATTAATATTTTTGATAGTTTAATTAGTTGAAACTGGGAAAACTAACTGGGTATTTTGAATTCATCCCAAACATTTGGAAAGCCTTGCTGACCTCGAAAGACACTTTGTGAGGCCTCAGTTTTAGGTTTGCTTTAGACTTTTTTTTTTCTTGGTGTGCAAGGATTAAATTCCTTTTCCTGTTTCATGGTAAGTATTACGTGTACTGTAATGTTAAAAAAGGAAATCAGAATTACAGTGAGCCCTGCTGCCTTTTGACTTCAGCAGATTAAAAAATACAATGTTGAGTTGGAGTGACTGTCAAACAGGGTAAGAGAGTGGAAATAAAATTACAGAAAGTTATCTGGGAATTGGCAATGAGATACAGTGGGAATAGAATCCAGGAATTGTGAAGGATGCGGAAGGGTTGGTATAAAATTTTTTGAGTTTAAGTGTTAGTTAACAGATGTTTGGCAGAGTTTTATCACTGCTGTAAGATGAAGATAATCAATTTGGGAAGGAAACGTAGTGGAAAAGATTAGGTCTGGATGTGAAACATTTTAAACTGCAAGAAGTTTACTAAGGTAAATACAGTAGACATAAGGCTCAGTTTCTCCTCTTTCCTGAAATTGTTCTTCTTACACCACAAGCTGTGTTTGCGTAAAGTTAAGAAGAGTATTTGAAAAGCAAAGAAAGAAACAAAAAACACAGTGAACCTTCCCTCCCCCCCCCAACACTGCTGATACTTAAAACTTTGGTAGTGGATGCACATTTTTCTGCATTTCTAAAGCTTTTTCCAAATCTCCATTTAGCAAAAATGTCCAGGAAGTATATACCTACAAAGTAATTTTTTTTAACTAAATTTGATTTTATTTTTTGTACGATGACACATTTTTTGAAAAAGCTTTTTAGGACCACGTTACATAGATGTTTTTGCATCTTAGTTATCTATTCTCCTTTATTTACTGTCCCATTCGGAAGCTTGCACAGACCTGCTTAAGGCACATACACATGTACAATACGAGTGCTTCATTCATAAACTAACTTTTCTTGTCAAGTATAATGTTACGCAGAACACACTATGTTGCTTGAGAAGCTCAAGTCTCTACCAGCTGCATGCTGTATCTGGCAGGAGTATTGGAATTCAGAGAACCTTTTGAAATGGATGAGCTAAGTAAGTCAGTCACCTACACACCCCAGATAGCTAGGTGTAGATTTCCAGATTGGGGATTCTACAAAAAAAAATCATCTGAAAATAATTCTTATTTATGAAAGTGAGGAGTGCTACACAACCTTAACTGTACTTTATATATGCAATATTCTGGTTAAAAGCTTTCGTAGGCTTCTCTCCGCAGGCTGAATTTGACTTCTTGCTTTTGACTGTCACTTTCTAACATAAGCAAGAAATATACTTGAATAACTGTTAAGTAGTCCCAGGAAAGGAAAATGTGGAGAAAATGATTTGGTGTGGTGGGGAAAAAAGTCAGTGTTCTTGGGCTCCAATGCACATAGAATAAATACAATTATGCAGTCAGCATTTGCTTAGTTCATCTTTACAACAGGATAATGAATGAAGCCAGAGGCTTCATGTGTACAGACACTTCACTTAACAATATGATTAAATGGAACACTCAAATATATAGGTAAGTAACTACTAGGGAATATTATCATGATAAAAATAATTCCGTTATATGTACATACGAAATAAAATGTAAAGAAAAAGAGCATTAGCTGTTTTAAGCACCACAACACAGTGGTAAGCTTTATTTTGGCTGCCCATTAATTTAGCTTAACTGTACCAAAATACAGTTGGTTTGTTAAAGGCTGTGTAATCAGGTCTTAAACTTAAGACGTGATGTTGAGCGGGAATCCAAAGGTAGTGCACATATCTTTAGATGTTTTTAGGCAGTGTTATATCTTAATAAAGGCTTTAAAGGAGGAATGACAGGAAGTCTTTTGATGGCTTATTTTTCCTAGCTGCTAGTTGAAAAATAATTGTGGCTACTTAGACTTTTTTTCCCTCCCCTCCTTGAGAAGGTATTTAGAAAACAAACCATAGAATTCTGTTTTCTTGTATTGACAGAAGTCTAGATATTGACAGAATACTGAATCACTTATTGCATGGTTTGTAATCTATGCTAAGTTCGCATGCATATCACTTGAGAAATGTTTGCTTATCAGGTGTGCGTTGAATTCCTTCTTTTCAATACCAAGATTTATTTTGAATTCCAAACCATGAACGCAGTAAAAGCTGAACAGTTTATTAGTGATATCTTTTGTTACATGGCAGATCTGTACCCTGTAAATTTGATTAAGGCAGCCTAGTCTTGCAGGTTGGAAAGACTCCAAGTGTAATGTCAATAGTCTTGATGCTCTTTTTTAATTCTGGAAGCTTTTTCAGGCTGCTTTGTGACTGACTGGAGAATATGCAGTGCTGCTTGCTGAGGATTTATCTGATGCTTTTTTTTTTTTTGTCGAAGCTTGATACACCTTCGACCACTGCAAGACAGCTCTGTGGCTGCCTTCAGCAGTATCTGTACCAAGTGGATCCTCCTCAAACTTTGAGGACACCTTTGCATTCCTCCAGACATCTTACAAGGTGTGGAGATGTTAGCATGAAGGTGAGGGTCCACGCCTGATTTGCAAATTTGACTACAGTTGCAAAGGAAGAAAGGACAGGCATTGAGCATAACTTATCTAACTTTGCTTACCAAAGTAATTAAACAATATTGCATTTTAAAGATGCTTACGATCAAGATTATCTTGGGTAGCTGCTGATTTAACTTGACGTGGTACATTCTTCCCAACAGGTGCTTCCCCAGGAACCTTGGAACTCTAAATTATGGTGACAGTTTATTTGTGTATTACCAAAGTATTCTAAATCTCCCACGATGAGCAGCTGATGTGGCTGTATTGAATAGCCACCAACGTAATGTAAAAATAAAATCTCCATCAGAGACATTTTTAGTCCAGCCAAATTTGATTTAAAGCTTCCCCTTTGCCTTGAAGCAATGTTCAGGAAAATTTCAGTAATTGCCTAAAAGTTTTTTCTTTATAGCAAGGAATCTATTTCTGGTTGAGAAGTATGGTTCATAAAGCATTTTCTTAACTGAAGGACTTTAGTGAATTTAACTGCCTAGATTCCATGGGAGTAAATTTATATTATAGGGTACATTTGTCCTGAATTTGGGAAATTAAGGTACCAAATTGCTTTTAGAGTTTTTGGAAGTGCTGCAGGATGTTGTGTGGGCTGAAGCAGCCTGAACTTCCTTGGACAGCTGTGTCAGTACCCATCACGTTGTTGCTGTCCTCCTGAGTTAGTAATGTGGCAAATTATTCCACAGTTATTTCGAGACTTTGAGGTACAGATGTTGACAAAAGAAGAAAACAGCTTGTTTATACCTTTCATTTTGTAAACCTTATTTATGGACTGATATGAAAGGAGATTATAGATTATGCCCTCCAGTTAGGGCTGGTCTCTAAAATGTGACTGCCAATGACTTTGGTCCTTGATCTGATCTTGTGGGAAAACCTCCTCAAGAGTAGTGGATAGACTATAACCAAAAATTCTTGTGTGAGAACCTGCTTCTTCTTGGGAATGAGTGTTATCCTTGTTTACAAGAGGTCTGCAGTAAGACTGATGAACAGTTGTTATTAACATCTAAGGCTTTTAAGTTTACATATACTTGGTAGGTTTGAAGCTGCTTCTCTAGAAGTCTCCTAGTGTGTACTGAAAAACTCAACCTGTTTTCCACAAGACTGAGCAAAGAGGGGTCATAGCACATAACTGTGAACCCAGTGTTCAGGTAGCAGTTTCTATCTCATGAGCCATGTGGCAAGGACTGTCTACTTCTACATCAAGAGGAGAAATCTAACCAAAGAATGATCAGACTCATTGAAGAGACACTGTGCCTAGAGATTCCATATTGCTGGGTGAAACCCTTTGCCTTCAGTAGCTGTGTATGAGCTGATAGGGAAGATTGTTTCTAAAAGCAGTTGAACATATGAAATGCAGAACTTGATGATTTACTTACAATTTTCTCTTGTTTATCCCAGGCTGTTCTTACAGAATCAGTTTCTTGACCTTTTTAAAAAATTATTTATAATGTTCTCCTTCTTCAAAAGGGATAATAGTTATTAAAAACTATTAAAAAGCAGTTGCATATGTGAAAAATCTATATGCATCAATAGTCAAATTTCTGAGGAAACTGGCAGTTCTGTTGTTGCAAGGATTGGTGTCTGTTCCATTTTGGTTTGACTCATTTACTGGTCTGTTATGCCAACTTTCTTTTCAAAGTAGTCATAGAACCTTTTTGGACATATGAATATTTAACTACTTACAGTAGAGTAACTGGAGCAGAGGACATCTGAAAATAGATTCAAGCAGCAGCCTGTAATAGTGTTTGCCAATGAGGTGATCCTTGCATAGACCTGTCTGAGTTGCAGCGTAGGTGCTGGTGGCCAAATCTGGTATCTGCCTTTGGCAGAGATCCATATGGAAGCACTGGGTTTGAGTAAGCAATTACACAGGTCTGAACTACTCTGTACTTAACATGGGTTGTATTGCAGGAGAAATAGGAATGGAAATCTGAAGGAAAAAGTCCTCTTTTCTGTTCTAAAAGTTAGATTTGGAGGGAGACGTTGACATCAAATACTGTTGGAGCTGGGAGACACAGAGGTCACAGGTCACTTCTTGTAACATGCATTGTTGCCCTGTCCCTGTTAGCATTTCCAACATATGCTGTTATAGCAAGACTGTGTGTATGCCTGGCTTGTTCTGCTAGTCTAATCCAGATTGTAGATTGCTAAAGATGAAAAACTTCATTATGTGCAGAAGAAAATTCAGCCCTGTCACTTCTACTGCTGTGATACACAGCCACCTATCCTGGACCATTCAGAAAGTGGGAATGAAGTCAAAGATGAGAAATATGGCAGCTAGGTTCTCTGATAGTTAATAAAGTAGGGATTCCTTTGGAGTTTCAGATTGCCTGGAAAAGCTGTTTCCCTTGATTGTGAGCTTGCTTTGTATGCTGCACTGCCAGCATCAAACCGAAGTCTTTAAAAAATGCAAAGATTTGGGCTGAAAAAGGAAACTTTTCTTTCATCATTTCGACTGTTGTTTTTTTTTTAAATTTGTTTTACTAACTTAACCACAGCAACGTGTAGCCCTTTTCATTCTTCCCTCCTTATTAAATAATTAAATTTTTTTTTTTGCGTTGATCAAGTTGACCAAGTTGATTGGATATGTAAAACCTGTAGTTGTGAGGAAGCTAATCTGTTTTATCTGTCATTAATTACCTTCTCTAGATCATTATAAAGCCTACTAAAACTTCTGCCTAGGAAGGTGGTTGAGTCACCATCCCTAGAGATGTTCAGGAAATGTTTAGATGTTGTAGTAAGGGACATGGTTTAGTGGGGAAATATTGGTGGCAGGCGGATGGTTGAATGAAATGATGCTGGAGGTCTTTTACAACCTTGGGGGTTCTATGGTTCTGATAATGAGCAAGTTAGCAAACAGTATCCTCTGCAATTGCTGAATGTGACACAACTGTTAGTGCCACTCAAAATCTGTGAGCTTTCTCTTGGGATGATGGTTACTTTTGTTATCTGGTTTTATTGCTGTGCCCAGTTGGAAATGTTTATAGGAGACCATACTGTTTTTCTGATGAAAATGATTCCATCTTCTGTATATCAGTTGATCTTTCTCTTTCTTTTGGGAGGGAAAGTACTTTCAGTTGAAGCAGTTTTGGCTGGAAGGGCAAACTCACTAAAACGTATGAGGAAAATCGCCTGTATAGCACTGCATTCAGTTTTGAGCTCCTCGCTACAAGAAAGACATTGAGGCCCTGCAGTGTGTCCAAAGAAGGTCAATGAAGCTGTGAGGTATCTGGAACACAGGCCTTATGAGGAACGACTGAAGGTGCTCTGGTTATTTAGACTGGAGAAGAGGAGGCTCAGGGAAAACCTTATCCCTGTCTGAACTACCCAAAGGGAGATTGTAGCAAGAGTGGGTTGACTTCTTTTCCCAGGTATTTAGTGTTAGGACAAGAGGTAATGGCTGCAAGGGAGGTTCAGGTCGGATATTAGGAAAATTTCTTCTCAGTAAGAGTTGTGATGCATTTGAACAGGCTGCCCAGGGAAGTGGTGGGGTCACCATCCCTGAAGGCATTCAAGAAAAGGGTAGATGTGGCACTGAGTGACGTGGTTTAGTGGGTGAGAGGTTGACAGTTGGACTAGATGACCTTTAGAGCTCTTTTCCAACTTTAGTGATTCTGTGATTCTATTTTAGTAGTGGTTTTTGTACTTCTATTTTATCTTGTGTTGAATAGGTAGGTAGAGACCCTTTTGTGATGCTTCACCTCTGACTTCTGGACTTAATGGCCTTCTAAACATCAAACTTGAAAGCAGTGTCTTTCTAAATAGCTGATCTGGATCAGTTATAAGGGTATAAAATGGTTTATTTATTATAACTGTAACTTTATTAAGATTTTTATATTTGTAGGATGAAACAATTGTTGTCTGTCTTGATGAAATTCCTAGTGAGTTCAGTGAAGTCAGGACGCATTTTACAGGTCATTTATTAGCTTTAAACTCTTCTAGACCTGCTAATTATTCCTGTAGCTATTTCCTCGAATGCTGTGCTTTTCAGGGCTTATGGTAAACTCGACAGATTCGGGGTACAATTTCAAAAGTCACTGACACTTAAAATTATGACTGTGTTGCATTATTTCAGGATACCCTATTTGATAGAAGGATGTCCCAGACATTTTCCAATTCATGTTTTCCCTCTCTTGTAACACAAAAATAGTGTCTAACATAAAAATGCTTCTTAATTTCTATTTATGTATTTTTTCTATGTCTTTTCTGATTTATTTATTTTATGTTTCTTTTACAGATCCAACTACAAATCCAGCATATTCAGAAGAAAGATTGGCTCATGAAGCTTTGCAATTAGAGAAGCGCTTGAGCTTGCTGTCCCATACAAGTCGCCAGGGCAGTGGAGGTAAGAAATTCCTTTAATTAAATATAGGTGGTATTCCCTTCTTTTCTAGGCTGTAACAATGAACCATGTATACGTCATTATAAGATGATGAGCTTTAAAGAAAAAATTAATAAAACAATGGTCAATATGTTTCATTTAGGGTATTCTTGTCCATGGCTGCTTCAGTCACTGCTGAGTAATGTGGTTCGTGACTAAATGCCACTGACCCTTGTGGAAGTCTCTTAGAGCTACCAGACTGATGTAATATTGTAATATGATAGAAAAGCATGCCTGAGTTTTCTGTTTGTTTTTTAAATCCAGTCTCTGCGGTCAGTTATGTGGCTGAATGAGGAATCACAAAGTGAGCTTTTCATATTCCGTTGAGTTCTGCACAGGAAAATTAAACATTTGTGGGAAATACCAAGACTTTAAGTTTGGGAGGTCATTTGCCTGAATCTGGACATCTAGACTTTCCCATTGTCTTGGTTCTAATGCAGTTCTAAGCTGTAGTTAGGACAATTCATATATGATTGTGGGAGAGCTTCCCTTCCAAAATTCTAAAATATTTAGCTGGGAAAAAGTGATTTCAAAGAAATTGAAGAATCTTGTTATATATCTATATGTCAGTGTGTGTATATGTGCATGTGTATTTTTGTCTGTAGACAGCTGTTTTATTCAGGGTAATTTTTTATTAGGGTAATTTTTTTTTTTTTTTCAGACGCCAGACATTGCTGAGAACTGCACTAATATTTTTGTAATTCATGTCTTCTGCCTAGATGGCAGCATAATTTCATCCCCAGATTTGTGCAGGGGGTCACAAGCTAGCATCAAGTAGTGGGTGCTAGGGGAAAAGAAAGGATTACATTTCAGAGGATAAATGTTGCTATTTTCTGCTAGTACAAAACAAGAATCCTTCCAAGGAGGGTAGGAAAATTGTTCTAAATTTTTCCAATAGCAATTGAAAACAGAAATAGTTCAGTAACACCAAAAGCTCAGATCTTGATTTTTTTTTTTTTTTTTTTTTTTAAGTGGATCCTTCACTTATCTAACCCATCTGGCAACTTATTGCTCAAGGTTTAAAATTAGTTAGAATTAATACCTACAAAATTATCCTGTTGCTGGCCTTGTCTTCTTTATCTTGTCTAAAAAAATATATTTATTTGAGTGAAGAAAATAACTTCATGGAGCTGGTACAGGAAAGTATGGTGTTTTTCACAAAAGCATGAGGACACTTTCATCAATGTTTAGTTTTTTCCTTCCATATTCCATCTTGGATAGCTATAGATACTGTAAATGTGTTCTCCTTACAAATACACTGAAGAAAAAAATCTTGCAATATGTACATAAGATCTTTTTCTATATAGATACGTAAATGTAGTAGCATTCTTACTTTTGTTTGTGGCTGTTGTATTATTGTCTTTTAGTATGGATATTATGGAGAAATACAGTGTAGAAGACAGCAGAGAACAGGACATTCTATTTTTTTTGTCTCTCACATCCATTTTGATGTCATTCAGATAAGACTTGAGAAAGAAGTACCACAATCTTTTGTTTCATTCAATTTCAACAGAAATTTTGAAATCTTTTATATGTTTCTAGATTACATTATTAAGTTTGTGGATTTTTTTTTTCCAGAACATCTTCAGCTGAAATTCTGAAAGTTTGTGACTATTCCCTGTGTTATAAGACTGAAGTATCTAAAATAAAGCTAGTTAACTGTACAGGAGTGAAACACATGTAAGGAGAGAGCTGGCTGCATAAACTCTAAAAATGTAACCCTGAATGCAGTGTATTCCACAGTGTGATAGGGTTGTGTTAAACTATTATCTGCCTGTTATTTTTCCAGCAGGGATAGGAATAATTGCAGGAATGATGGCATTCCAACAGAAGATCCCTCTACGAAGCACGAAGCAGATGGAATATCAGGGTTCTTTCTGTGTGTACTTGCCCTGCTTCCAGTCTGTGTGTTGTGTTTTAAACATGGGCTGATCTCTTTTCTTCTTTTTTAGGAGATGATCGAAGTCTTTCAAGCTCATCTTCAGATACCAGCCACTCTGATGTTAGTGTTGGGAGCAGATTGACAATTTGGCCTGAACAGTCTTCAGCCAGCACTTCACAGGAGAGTCATGGACTGGCAGCTGCAAAGGGCATTCATCTTGGGGAAGAAAAGATCCATCCAGAAGGGGCACGTGGCACTGCTAAACCACCTCCAAAGCCCCTCCGATCCAGACAGCTACAAGAGATAGGCCGTCAGAGCTCATCTGACAGTGGAATAGCTACTGGTAGTCACTCTTCTTACTCTGGAAGCTTCTCTTCCTATGCTGGGAGCTTGGACATCTGCCATGGCGATGAGTTTGGATCATTGCTTAGCCTGCCATTGAACTTTCCTTCGGATCAGAATTTATGTACTTGTCCTCACAGTGAGCCTCAGAGAGGTGTGGGATCAGAGTATCAGGTTCCCAGCTCTCTCAGACATATTTATGATATACCCAGGAGTTTGTTACAGGCAGCTGCTAAAGATGTGCAACCCAAGAGTGCAGATTCCACGCTACCCAAGGACCAGGCCCTGCTTCCTCATGGTGCTAGTGATCCAAAACTGCTCCTTCCACACTTCGAAGCACAGAGGGCACCAGAGCACAGCCAGGACAGAGGGAGACCGTCATCCTTACTCCCAGAAAGCACCAAAGACTCAAGTAATGAGGCGTGTGTGGATTTTGTTTCGAGGTGGTCAGATACAAAAGCACCAGGACAGGTGTCAGACTCCAAAAGTAGTGAGTTAGCGCCACCTGGTGGAGCCTCAGCTGACCCCTATGACACATGTAGCCCCCACCTTGGGATGACAAGAGCTCTTTTTTCAGCTTGTCCAATCTGTGGTGGACTAAAGGTAAATACCTAACGCTGAGCAGATGCTAACAAGCCTTACTTGATATAGCATGATTAATTTAAAATGGCTTAACTTACAAGTCATGTTATTTCCTTTATAATTTTAATTAAGGTAATCATATTTGTATTGTTTATGTTCAAGCTGAGAGGCTTTGTACGTTATTTCTTCGAAATCTGTGCCTGATCAAGAGAACACTTGAATAATATAGCCCATCAATCATTGCTTTTAAACTGACCAATTTTTTTCTTTGAGTGTATGTGAATAGCCTGCAGTGACAGAAATAGAAATTACGAAAAAACACATAAGAGGGCTGAATTTGTCCTATAGTGATAACAACTTGGTATGGAGAACACTGACCTGTCTTGCTGCTGGTATTTCAAAAGACAGAAGGTTGAGGCTGTGTACTATGTGCTCCTCTTTGGAATGGCTGTAGCACATATTATTTTTTTCATGTTTTTCTTCATTGTTGTAATTTGTGAGCATATATTGCACAAGGAGAAGGCAGATTAGTGAAGCCTCTTACTAGGGAAAGAGAAGATAGTCTGGTTAGCATAGCAATCCAAGACAAATCACTTTATTGTATTTATAACTGACCACTGAGAGATGCTTTAGGGGAAGTATACAAAAATCCATTACTGAGCTACAAACTGGGCAGTGTATTTACAGGGAAAGTTATTCTTGATCACCAGTCACAGAAGACATGGAGATTCATATGCTTTTCTAAACACATTTGGCAATCTGTAACTATGATTTTATTCCCTCTAGAGTTCCTTCTGAACCCTGTTAAATTCTTGGCTTTTTATTGTAGTAAGTTTTTTACAAGGCATGGAGAAAATATTTGTTTTTATCTATTCTGGAGAATACTTTAGTTTTGGTAAGTAAGATGAAGGTAAAACTGTCAGTGAGCTGCTGAAATGATGGTAAGGTCAGAGAGTGTGCTCAAATTAGGAACGTGTGAAGTGGGGATTCAGCAAAGACTTTTGTATGAAGAATTAAATACTGTGGTTCAATTGTGTATTTTTTTTTAATTCAGCAGGTGGGATTACATAAACCACTGCTATGAAAAGGACTTGAGTATATAGGAAGTTATAAAAGAAATAAAAAGACTTGAGGGGCAGTTTTCTTGTGGTGTGTTACGCATTTGCATCATTGGCTGTGTTCATGTCTGAAAACAAAATCCTTTGTGCCTGAGGTGCTTGTGTAGCATCTGTCTCAGCAGTGTGAGAGCACCTGGACATTGCCCTGTATTTGTGGCATTTGGGAGGCAAGAAAGCAGGACAAGGTTGCATCTATGTTCATTGTTAGGAAGAATGTTCTTCCAAGGCCATCTTTGCAAGCCCCCCAGCATCATTTTGAAAGCCTGACTGGATGCAAGGGCTGAGGTTCAGCCTCCAGCTTCTGCTTTTTTTGAGCTGAGGAGAACAATTTCTGCTGCTGGCTTTTTGTGTCTGCTGTCTTAGTCAAAAAGAAGTTGAAAAGAATGCACAAAACTGATTCCTAGAAGGTTTCTACTCTGAGAAGAGCAAGCCCCAAGATGGCTTTGTTGTAGGCAGGGGAGAATTAGTTGGCATGGAGTTAGTTCACATGGTTGAAATGTTTGTGGGTGATCTCAGTTGTCACTTTAGACATGAATTTATTGAAACTTACCCTGGATGTCTGTGGCAGACAGGCAACTGAAAGAAAGTGTTCTGTTCTATTAATCAGAACATTTAAAGGCAAAATTATGCTGCTCCTCCTTTAACTGCCTGTTCACTTCCATGACATACGCAGCCAGATCTTTTTATTTTTATATATATTTAAATGTGTGTATATGTATAAAAATATATCTATTTATTATTTCTTTTTTTGTGAAGAGCCGACAGGTTTCACTTTGATTCTAGTTACCTATTAACATTCATTGGTAAGAATGTCAGGAATAGTTGCTGTTTAAGAAAGTTTAGTGACAGAGAGACACTGATAGAACACTCTTACCGACTTTATTTTTTCATGGTGTTCTCACATTATGTGCATGCTTGTTTGTTTTTTCTTTCTTTTCCCTTTCCTCTACTTGGCTGGAAGTATTTGGGAAAGAACTTTCACTAAAAGGAATGATTGGACTCGCTTTCACTTTGGAAAGAAAAAATAACTTTTAGGTATATTGTCTTAAACTGTCAAAATAAGTTATTTTATCAGTATTTAATGGATGCTTTGTCTGGCTTTTCTCATGCTGAATACAGTGAAAGCACAAATCCATGTGATCTAACTAAAAATAATAATTGTTTCTCGTGCTTTGAACAGAATTAATTTGAGATATAGTTAGGGCCAAGGGGAGTTCATTTATGAATTAATGAGACACCAGGTTTCACATTGACTGGAATTCACTTTCAGAAGGCTTTACTGGGCCAATGTTTAGTGCCTCTGCAATTTCAAATTAAGCTGTTAATTAAATTGTGGTGATGTTTATTAAATGCCTACTATTTAAAGTGAGTGAATAGAAGGAAGCTTACAGCACGAATAAAACAGGTATGCCTTAGTTTGCTGCCCTGGATGCAATCCGTGGCAAATCAAGGTTAGATTTGGGCATGTCATCTTTGCTTTGGAGCTGAAAGAAGCTCTGTGAAGAGCTGGAGGCAGGATGCAGAGTGATAACATGCATGTGTGGAAGTGATGGTAGCATTGGTGATGGGGGATTGTCTAGGTTAGGAAGCACCTGCTCCTCTAGTGGAAAAGTTGATGATGGACACAGAGGGGTTCAAACAAAAAAGGAGAAGGAAGCCTTTCTGTTTCACTGTGGATGAAGAATAGCACAAGCATGAATGAAACTACTAAATTTTCCTTTTTTATTTCTATACTGTATTTCATAATATGCGTTGGGGATTAATAAGCAAATATACAGGGTGTTTTGCTTTCTGCTGTATATTACTGTAGTGTGCACGTGATGTCCCTGTTTATAACCTTTGCAACGCGTGCCTTCTGCTATGCAACTTTTGCCTTGGTGATTTTAGTGCTATAGATTAATGCCCGGATGAAATCTGTGTGTATTTTAAGAATATTTTAAGCTCAGAATGTTGGATTGTTGTGGGATTTCTAAGTAAGCTACCGAGATTTATTATTAGACTTATTCAATTTTCAGTTACTTAGCTGCTATTAATTTGAGGAATAGCTTTATACTGTACGTTTGTTGCTCTGTAACTTCATTTGATGCTGTAGTTTGAGAAACTGTCAACACTTTTTATAGGGTGTCTATTTTTTTTTTTTACACCACCACTGTTTGTAAATTTTCTTAGTCTGAAAAATAAAATTCTTTTCCAACTGGTTTTGTCCTTTTGCATCTGACAAGTACTGCTTTTCATTTTTCTTTGCTTTTTGTCCCCTGACGTTCACCTTCTTGCAATTTGAATTAATGTGGGATGATTATGGCTGTCTCTTCTTACTGCTCAGTGTTATGCTCAAATTGCTGTTGACAGCTCAAAACGTGCCTTTCAGTAGAAATTACTTTTATATATTTCTGACTTGCCCTAAACTCATATTTACGTTAGTTGGAATTCTTATGTACAGGCTTGGTTACAGCTTCAGTAGTTAATCTGCCATGATAGAGGAAAAAGGAAAGCATCAATTTGTATGTATCTGTTATTATCAATCCTGCACTGGTATTCAGCTACTTATTTTAGCTGATCATTTAAAAATGCCAAACTCTCCTTGGAGACAGTTGTCCTAGATCAGGAGCACATCTACCAAAACCCTCTGTGATGTATTTTTATGGTTCCACAGTAACTGTGCCTCAAACTTTGTAGCACCCAGCATGTCTGCAGTAAGCTGAAACACAGGAATGCTGTGGTCACCATGTGTTAAAGACTTTGTTAGGTAGCAGAATCTACAGCTCTGAATGGCTAAGATCATCCTGCACAGCACAGGGAGATCTGACACCTGTGCTGGGGGTGTGTGGATTGCTACTTACATGGGGTGCTGCTCTGATTAGATGATAGGAAATATAACTCATTTAGTCTGTTCTGTAGTAACTGCTTTATTTTGCATTGCATTTTGCATGTGCATGTATGCACTGTGATCCTTGAGCAGGCACTTATGCAGCACTATAGGTCCCTGCAGGGCTTTTTAATAAAATGCAATCTTTGCTGAGTGCGGTCTGTGAGTAGACCCAGAGCTATGAATATCTCTGTTTCTGTTGTGCAACGTAGACCAGGGAGATGAATGACTACAGAAGGCTAGATATGCTCTCCATTCTTGCCTGGACTGATCTAACCAAGACTGTGAGCTGCCTGTGACTGGGTAGGGGATGCCACATCAGCCTTCTAATCTTGTACAAGACTCTTAAACTTGGATTTTCTCCCTTCATCGTAGATGCTGCTTTTGAAAGAGGTGAAGTGTAAACTTCTGTTTTGTTGAGATACAGCAGCTGCAGGCTACTTCATTACAATCATGTAACTGAGAATGGGCCTTTTTTTTTGGCTTTTAATCAGATAGTAGTATTAAAATAGATACTTAAGCAACCACACTGTTGCTATATACTACTTAAATATAGCTTTGCTTTTCCTCTTGCAGACAGTACCTCTTTCTCCACGAGGTTTGAACATCTTATGTTGATCTTGCAGTGTGTTTCCTGCTTTCTCTTAAAGTGGAGGAACATGATTACTAATAATCACACACCATTCATATTTATTTTCAAAGGTTGTTTTTTTTTTTTAATATAGATCTATATTGATGTGTGATGCTGTAGCATTTTATGCCTCCTCTCAGCTTCACAAAAAAGCTTCATGCTGTGTAAATCTTCCGTTAAGAAAGATTTATAATCTTTTATGTTCCTGCTTGTGCTTCTGTTTTAATCACAGAGCTCTGGGCAGTTAGGCAACAAATGCTGTCAAACTATAAAAGGAACAGTTCACACCTCAGAAGAATCTGGAAGTCAGGAGAGCTGGCGTTACTGACCTCAGCAACAATGTGTTTGTGAGGCTCTCTTATGTTCTGGTGACTGCTGATTCTGGGTGCTATTAGCTTTTGGCATG